TAAACAATTTAATGGTCCATTTATTTTATTTTACTTCCCCAGGAAGATGTTTTTTCCTGCTTCCTGGGGAAATAAAATATAATCAATGGACCATTAAGTTTGTCTGTTTTCTAATTAAATTAATATTTGCTCTGTTTGACATTGAGCTCTCTGGATTACATCCTCCTTGGAATTATCCATACGGATTACCAAACTTTTCATTATCTCTCTCTCTCTCTCTCTCTCTCTCTCTCTATCTATCTATCTATCTATCTATCTATCTATCTATCTATCTATATATATATATATATATATATATATATATATATATACACGAGGTTTGTCTGAAAAGTAACGGGATTATGTGTGTATGTGTGTTTGTGAGCTATGGTCGAAAAAAGGATAAGCTGATTGTGTTATCTTCTAACAAGATATCTTGGGACTATACAACTGTAATCGTAGCGTTTTGAAACCATTGCATTTTTTCACATGTTTTTGTTTTCACATCCTCTTTTTTTCAGTTCCTTTGATTATGAACACTGAGGAACGAACGATGAACACCGAGCAACGAATAAACCTGAACATTTTGGTACGGTTGGTGAAAACTCCGTCACTAGCACTTGGAACGCTTCAGCAAGTGTATGGAGATAATATCATGTCTCGCTCACGTGTTTTTGAGCGGCGCACAAGAGGTTCAGAGAGAGGCGCGAGGAAGTGGAAAATGACTCCAGAGGCGGGAAGCCTTCAACAAGCAGGACTGTGGTCAACGTCGAGCGGGTAAAACAGGTGGTGAGTAGCGATTGTTAGTTGACTGTTCGAATGATTGCAATAGTGCCAAAGCTGCTGAAAGATGATCAGAAGGAGCGCCGAATGCAGGTGTGTCAGGACATCATCGAGCGTCTTCAAACTGATCTAGACTTGCTTTGTAGCGTCATCACTGGTGATGAGACATGGATTTTGGAGTACGAACCGGAAACTAAGTGCCACCGCGAGACGAGATGAGAGTTGTGGTAGGACAAATCATGGATGCTTCATCACGACAATTCACCAGCTCACGACACCCTGACCATCCAGCAATTCGTGGTCAAGAAGAATGTGTCCGTATTGGAACAACATCCTTATTCATCTGATCTTGCTCCGTATAATATTTTTCCCCCAAGCTCAATGGGATCATCAAGGGGACCCGTTTTAAAAGCGTTGAGCCCCTAAGAGGATTCCTTCCAGCGGTGCATAGAAGTGTGGCAGAGAACAGCGGAAAAGTGCATTAGACGCGAGTGGGGGATTACTTTAAAGGGGATAACCACGTAGTTTGTTGTTTGGAAGTGAAATAAATTGTTCTTGACACCAGTCCTGTTACTTTTCAGACAGACCTCATGATTTTCTACATATGATGTTACAGTGGCTCAGTTCTTAGAAACCAATAGCCGAACTACCCACACATATAATTTCATTATAGTAGTGAAGGGTGGTCCAAAATCAATCACACTTTCCAGAAAAATCGAATACAGAAAACCGTTGCAGTTAATGCACTACGGAGTCTGCAAACGACACTACTCAGGTTTAGAATTCAAAACTTTCTTGCTCCTAGACGGCTCAGTTTTTGTTGCTATTCACCAATAGCTGGTTGGTGCATAGCGGGAAAAGAGATGGATCCGTACCTTTCCCAAGTGTATTTGAAGTGATGGGAATTCATATAAACATATATATATATATATATATATATATATATATATATGTATGTATTTTAAGACATTTTTATGTTAAACATTCTTTTTATAGATACAAATATTTAAGTTAATGCTCTGTTTATAATAAACAGTATTAAACAACATTTATTTTTTAATGTCGAGAAATTTTTCACTGAAAATATTTACCCCTTCGACAAAATTCGAACCTGTATCTAGTGATGAACCGTCATTTAACTTGACATGCCTTTACCGATTTGGCGACGGAGGAGCGTTCGGCTAGCAAGCTAAATGACGGTTCCGTATAGAATACAGGTTCGAATCCTGTCGGAGGACGAATATTTTTATGAAAATTTTCGGACATTCAGACCGGTAAATGTTGTTTAATACTGTTTATTATAAACAGAGCATTTACTTAAATATTTGTATCTATAAAAAGAATGTTCAACATAAAAAATGCCTTAAAATAATTGTCGGACTTTGTCCACTTCATAATGTGTGACGTCATATATATATATATATATATATATGTAATCTAACCGATTTAATTTTGATTTTTTCTTTTGATTCCATAATATATATATATATATATATATATATATATATATATATATATATATAAAAAGTTTCAAATTGAAAATTATAATGTTTTATTTTATGAAAGTATTTATTTATTTATAATATATTTGATATTTCAAATTGTCCTCAATTTTTCATCAGAAATAACTGTTTGTTACAAATAAATTAAAATTACTGTTTGTTAGCAAGTAGCGTCCTTCGTGAGACGCGGACGTCACGTGATATGCAACGTCACTGTTCGGATATTCCTAACTTAAATCTAACTGTCATAAATATTTAAAACAATTTTTTACTATATCTAAAAAAAAAAAAAAATTGCTTAACTATTGAAATATTTATAAAGATTTAAATTACCTAAGTCCCTATTCAACCCTAGTTTATGTGTATTTAATTTTAAAATCCAATATGTTTCTTTTTTTCTGCGTGTGAATGTTGAAGTAAAATCGGAATCTATTAATAAACATTTGCAGTTTTCTAATGTGTGTCCTGATTGATTGTAGTGTTTAGCTATGGGGGAATAAGGGTTGTTTTGACGTATTGTTTGTTTATGGTTATTAAAACGAAATCTAAAATTGTTTCCAGACTCACCAATATATCCACTATTAGGACATAAGTTGCAGAATAAATAATAGATTACGTTATGGGTATCGCAGGTGAGGTTAGGTGGCTGTATCCTGATATTGGTGTTGGGTACGGAAAATGTATTAGCTATTATTAAATGTTTGCAAACTAAGCAACGAGGTTTGTTACATTTGTAATTTCCTGTTTGGTTTCTATTGTTTAGATATTTGGTAGAGGTTAGGATAGCTGATAAGTTAGGTGATTGTTTCATTGCATTTATGGGTGGTTTATCGAAAATGTCTTTGATCTTGTTGTCTAATTGGAGGTTCTTGTAATCATTTTTAAATTGTGAATAAGTGTGTGCGAATATTGATTGTGGTTAAAACCATGGGAATCTGATTGTTTTTTTTATTTTTCTTGTATGTGAGAAGTGTGTTACGATTTATCAGGATAGTTTTGTTTAGTGCTTCTTTTATTATTTTTATTGGGTATTTGCATTTTAGGAATTGTTTTGTTAAGTTATTAATGTTGTATAGAAAATCTAAATGGTCTGAGCATATGCGTTTGATTCTTAGAAATGAGCTATATACAATAGATTTTTTTTTAATTTAAAGGGATGACAGCTGTTAAAGTGCAGGAATTTATGTTGGTTTGTGGGTTTGTTGTATAGACTGGTAGAAAGTGTATGTTTGTTTAATTTTATCATAACGTCTAAGAAAGGGATGGGTGTGTATGAGTGCTCCATTGTAAATTTAATTGTATCGTGGAAATTGTTGCAGAAAAAAAAAAAGGTTTTTAATTTTTCTGATCCATGAGTCCATAGTAAGAAAAATGTCATCAATATATCTAAAAGTAATGTGATGGTTTATATTCTGAATTGTCTAGTATCTTCTTTTCTAGAATGTGCATAAAGATATTAGCATAACTAGGTGCCATTTATATATATATATAGTTTTAAGTTATGATATATTTATGGGTTAAAATGCTCAATATCAGGGATAGAGCGTATGTAAATATAAAAGGGCGACAGTCTGTTTCATGTTTAAACGCAATATTCAGGCCTGAAGTTTGAAACAGACTGTTGCCCCTCGATGTCTACCTCAGTAACTACTTTTATATACATATTTGTACATATATATATGTGTGTGTGTGTACGCGTGTGTGTGTGTCTGTGTATCTACGTATGTATGTACTTGTAAATAAATTCTATTTACTATCTAACCTCATAACAGCAATAAACTGGTCGGCAAAACAAGTCTGAGCATAACGTTTTGTTTACTATAACAAAAAAGTACACAAAAATCTTACACCAATGTTACATGTGCATACAAAGGAAAAATTCGAAAAAATATAAGCAGAAAATTGCTGATATTCCCTGAAGAGTGGACGAACAGGTCTGCCTACGAAACTCTGGAGTAGGGGTGCTGAAGGCAACACCAATCAGTTAAGTGACAAACATTACTCATACAAATATATATATATATATATATATATATATATATATATATATATATATATATATATATATATAGAGAGAGAGAGAAAGAAAGAGAGAAAAGAGAGAAAAATAGATTGAGAAATAGAAGAAAACAGACAGACAGACAGAGACTAAGAGTGAGTGACCAAGTATATTTTAAAGTAGGTAATTAATACGTGATATTAAGAAATGAAATAGGCAACGTAACAAAAAAAAATTTGATAATGGCTAACGCAAGTCAAAAGTACTCCGACATAGGAAAATATTTAAAATATGAACCCAAAATAAAGAAAATAATCAAAAACATCGACAAAAATATATTTAAAAAATGATTAACAAAGAACTTTCGTTGGTATTTAAACCAAACTTGTATGAATGAAGAATTGATGCCCAAATACACCCAATATAGTGTGTCTGCGTATGTGTGCGTTTATGTGTGCGAGTGTGTGTGTGTGTGTGCTTATAAAACCTAAAATATTTCACGCTTTAAGAATTCATATTGCCAATCCTCTCAGTCATTTTTTTTTAGAGAAACATTCGTCGCCATTTAGGGAGACTCGAAAAAAATAACCAAATAACACTGGATGTTCTTAATATTTCCTTCATTAAAGAAATATCAATAAATGTTGGTAAAAAATATGACAGGTTAGTATGGAAACGTACTTTCCTGGTGCAAAGGTGGCAGGGTACATGCATATGCGAAACAGATGTCTGCTTACGAATATCAGAAGAAAGAACTGTCGTCGAGTGAACGAGTGAGGCGATTGTTTATCAAATTCGGGAAGTCGGGGCTTTATAAAATAGATTGGGGGCTTAAGAAAGTGAGTATGAGAAGAATGTAGAGAACGTTGCAGAGAGAAAGAGAGAAAGAGCTGAGAGAAAGAGTTGAAGGAGAGAGATTTGCAAGTGGGAGACCCCTTCGATGAAGGACTAAACGTCGGCCATTATTGTTGCGCAGTCCACCCAGTCATCCGAAAAGCTATAAAGATAAATCTTGTGCTTTAGCGAGACACCGAACTTGCGAAATGTTATTAATCGCATGAAAGAGCAATTCTTTTGGCCACCCTACTGGGGTCGTAGGGTGAGAGATAAGATAGGAAAGATACGATAAGGCATTTTTATACACGGCACCAAGAAATTGTTTTTATTTTCGTTGGGTTTTCATAATGTGCGACCTGAACAAGGAAGCTTCATAATTTGAATATTATGTTAATAGTGTTCTTTTTTGTTCAGATTGCACCATTCTGGAATTCTTTCTTTCTTTCTTTCTTTCTTTCTTTTCGTAATGTTCTTTTTATCCTTTTCCTTTTTTTTCCTTCTCTTTTTCGTTCCTTCATTGATTCGCTCTTTTTCACCTTCTCGTTCTTTTTCTAATTGACACCTTCATTTTCACCTTCGTGCTTCACTTTGTTTTTGCTTTCCCCTCAACCTAAACAAGATATTTCGCAGGTTGCATTATGGCTTATATCATCTTAGTCTCTTTTCATATATGGAAGAATTTTTTTGTCTTTTTTCTTATATAATCATATTAGGTAGAAAACAAAGAAACAATTTCAGTTCAAAATATTATAGCAAATAAACCTTTTCATACAACCTACTCTACTCAGCATAGATATGTGTCGACCAATGAAATATCTCACTTATTTAGCCCATCTCTTACTATTAAAGAAGCCCTAAATGTAATTACTAGAATATCAGCATTAGTCCAGTTATAACACTATTCGACACTAATTATCGGAAAATACCATGTGTAATGTAACTTCGTGTTGCAGTTTTGTTCATTACTAAAAAAATGAAGCCATGATCTTCTTTCAACCAGTGGTTAAGTCTACAATCGCTAAAACGAAAATGAACTTTTAATTTTTGTTTTTTTTTAAGTTGGTGCATAAGTTCTTGGCGCCATTTTTTTTTTTGAAAAATGTTAGAGAAATCTTAGAAGTTCCAAGAGTTCTTAATTGCTTATAAAGTCAGCTAATTATATTTCGCCGTTTGCACAGTGTTAAGAAAAAATATGAAGCTAGTTAAAAGTGCTATGAATTTGGGGAATCGAAAAAGACTTAGTATTTAGCACCCCTTCTCTCTCACACACACATACACGCACACATGCACACACTTCTCTCTCTTTCTCTCTCTCTCTTTCTCTCTCTCTCTTTCTCTCTCCCTCTCTCTCTTTCCAGAAAAAATGTCATTTTGGCAAGGAAAAATAAATTTATAACAAGAATTCTAAACGAAGAAGGATATTTTCTGTTAATTCACTCCAAATAATGTAAAGTTCCTCATCGCAAATATATATTCACCCCATGAAATTATACATTTAAAATCAAAGTCTGTTTTCTGTTTTTATTAAATTTTTATCACTCTTTTGAAATTATTTTTATTTATGTTTCGCTTGCCCCGCAACAACTCCAAGCCTCGGGATGAAAATGTATGAAAAGTCAGGGACTTATTCCCATTTCGGAAATGCGGATGGTATTCAAGGTACTTACAGGACTTTTTTTTTTACAATTTAAAAAAAAAGAAAAATATAATCATATTTTTGGCTTGTTTATCAGGGTGGGCGCAAATGTATACCCCCACACTTAGAAATAGTGCATCCGAGTCTCCCACATTTGGGACGATCGCAAAGGTCAACACAACCGGAGTGCAATTGAAGGACCACATTCTGAGAGAAATTGGTGTGAATTTTAGTAAATAAAAATCCTTTTTATTTTGGGCTGAGTTAACATTTTGGAATGAATTAGCAGAAAAAGATCCAAGAGGAAAATTGTGACCTCATCCAAGGCAAACCTAAGCGGAATCAAATAAGGAAAAAAATTTCTTCTTTGTTTTTGGTAGGATTTCAAGACAAATCTGTAGTTAGTATGTAAACCTTTTACTTTCTGGTAGCCTTGCTGCGAACGAACCAACGCCCATGGTTTACTACAAAGTTGATAAGTCAGGAAGCATAGATAAACCAAGTCACGTCTGTAGGAATTAATGGAGTTGAGGTCAAAATGAAACAATACAAGTTGTGAGTAATGAACAACAGCACTTTTATACAACGTTACAAAGTATTGAAAATTGTTTTAAAGTGTTGAAAGTTTGCAAAGTGTTTTTACAGGAAAATAAATGTAACTAGGATTTCTGATAGAAAGTTCCTTGTGTAGAGTGTGCGTTACAGAAGAAAAAATTAAGAGTTCTATGAATGTATGCTAATATAAAAAGACGTATTGCTTTTAATGCAGGTTGTTCTATCTTGCAGTGAGGAATTATTAATTGAGTTAAGTGCTATCAAAGAAGGAACTTTTTATAAAAGTGCTCAGAGAAGAATCTTATGTATGGCGCGTTAGGGCGGTTTCACGTTCCATGGAGCTATTGAAGAAAATTCTTTTGTCGTCTCTAGCTATAGATTCATATTGGCTCACAAAGACACCATTTTGGTGAATTGGTTCTAAACGACGAAATTAATTTTCTCTTTAATATCTAAATTTTGTGTGTGAGAGCCTGTTCTGGGCGCCGTGAGCCATTTTTTTTTAGACTTGACCAAAATATCTGGTTCTGGGTCTAATGAAATTTGGAGGTACGAGAAAACTTTTATTACTAAATGCTATAGTAATGTTATGATATAATGTACAATACTACGACGAATAGTTGGTTAGTTTGAATAGTGTTTTTTATTTTCGTTGGGTTTTCATAATGTGCGACCTGAACAAGGAAGCTTCATAATTTCAATATTATGTTAATAGTGTTCTTTTTTGTTCAGATTGCACCATTCTGAAATCCTTTCTTTCTTTCTTTCTTTCTTTTCTTAATGTTCTTTTTATCCTTTCCTTTTTTTTCCTTCTCTTTTTCGTTCCTTCATTGATTCACTCTTTTTCACCTTCTCGTTCTTTTTCTAATTGACACCTTCATTTTCACCTCCGTACTTCACTTTGTTTTTGTTTTTCCCCTCAACCTAACCAAGATATTTCGCAGGTTGCATTATGGCTTATATCATCTTAGTCTCTTTTCATATATGGAAGAATTTTTTTGTCTTTTTTCTTATATAATCATATTAGGTAGAAAACAAAGAAATAATTTCAGTTCAAAATATTATAGCAAATAAACCTTTTCATACAACCTACTCTACTCAGCATAGATATGTGTCGACCATGTCACTTATTTAGCCCATCTCTTACTATTAAAGAAGCCCTAAATGTAACCACTAAAATATCAGCATTAGTCCAGATAACACTATTTGACACTAGTTATCGGAAAATTCCATGTGTTATGTAACTGGGGTCGTAGAGTGAGAGATAAGATAGGAAAGATACGATAAGGCATTTTTATACACGGCACCAAGAAATTGTTTTTATTTTCGTTGGGTTTTCATAATGTGCGACCTGAACAAGGAAGCTTCATAATTTGAATATTATGTTAATAGTGTTCTTTTTTGTTCAGATTGCACTATTCTGTAATCCTTTCTTTCTTTCTTTCTTTTCTTAATGTTCTTTTATTAATTAATTTTTCTTTGAAAAAAGCAAACTATCGATTTTTACTGCATAATGACGCTCGTCCTTATGATTGCAAATGCGTTGCAACGAACAATCATGGATATGAGGTTCCCCTACAGGCAATGTATGTCTCCAGATCTCTGTTACATTTAGAATATCCGTTGTTTCCCCACTTTGCAAAGGTATTTGCCCCGTCAGCAATCCAAACAATTCAAGATACCAAAAAATTCTTTAAATAATTCACTGAATCTATAGCAGATTCTTTCTTTTAAGACCAAGCACATAACTTACTGCATTGTAGTGCATGGTTTGTTTTGTAGCATACCTATAATGGGCATGTCAACATTCACATAATTACAGTAGTAAATACTATATAATAGTCTGCACTTGGAGATTCATCTCCAGCTGTGCTGATCGAAGTCTCTGTCTCCGGGCAGAGAAAATCACCAGATGAGGCTATGTCGAAGGGCAGAGTCTCGTCTCGTCTCGTCTCGTCTCGTCTCGAACGACAGCTAACCGACCACTTTTATACGGGGGTCTACGGGAAAATTTTGGCCGAGCCTTCGGGCTCGGATACCCCACAATTCGGCCATGTGCCACATCTTACCGCATGGGGCGGTTAGTAGATATCCTACAGTCGGAGATTCGTCTCCAGCTGTGCTGATCAAACTCTCTGCCTCTGGGCAGAGAGGATCCCCGGACCTGGCTATGTCGAAGGGAAGAGTTTCGTCTCGGGAAACAGCTACTCGGCCCGTTTTATACGTGGTCAACTGGGAATTTTTGGGCGAGCTTTCGGGCTCGGATACCCCACATTAAATTCGGCCATGTGCCACATCTTACCGCATGGGGCGGTTAGTAGATATCCTACAGTCGGAGATTCGTCTCCAGCTGTGCTGATCAAACTCTCTGCCTCTGGGCAGAGAGGGTCCCCGGACCTGGCTATGTCGAAGGGAAGAGTTTCATCTCGGGAAACAGCTACTCGGCCCGTTTTATACGGGGTTAACTGGGAATTTTTGGCCTTGTGCCACATCTGACCGTGTGGGATGGTTGGTAGATATTCTGCAGTTGGAGATTCATTGTGGAATTCACCTGACTAACGTCTAGCAGTTGACTACTACTTCTACACGCCGCTGGCGAATCTTATATGTATTGTTCATGTCCTAAGTATTATCGTTCATTGCCGACATTCGAGTGATTATTCTATTCAGTAAGCTTTCATAAGTTACAACACTTTGGGAAATTCGTGG